GCCGTAGTTATCTACCATAAACTTGAAAAATGAAACAGGTCAACACCACCAGACTGTGTATTGAAAAAGGACGCATAATATGTAGTCTCGAAAAGAAGTTCCCGCAATAAGCTAAACACCGAACTTAGGTTTGGCAAGGTGATTTTATATGACTTTAAGCGAAGGACACAAGGGAAGTGTACTCAGTAATAAAATAAATATAGACAGTAAAAAGAGTATTGAAACGTTGTTTCTACAAGGACTCCAGACGATCCTCGTAGAGCGAAGTGTCTTTCGACGCGTCAGGGTCCACAGAACATCTCCAGCCGTCCCAAACAAACCCTTCGTCTAATGACACTCGACTTCGTCGCTCCACGATTTGCGACTCAACTTCCACAGTGTGTGTGTGTGTGTGTGTGTGTGGTGTGTGTGTGTGTGTGTGTGTGTGTGTGTGTGTGTGTGGTGTGTGGTGTGTGTGTGTGGTGTTGTGTGTGTTGTGTGTGTGTGTGTGTGTGTGTGTGTGTGTGTGTGTGTGTGTGTGTGTGTTCGAACTTGCGACACCCACCACGTAGAAATTAATGACGTGTCCCCCCCAGGAGCGGAATTCGATTAATTTGGTTTGCGAAAAGAGACGTGTGGATGTATTTCCATGTCCGCAAAAGGGTTTTACGGGTAGGACAGGAATTTTGGAAGAGTCGAGACGATAACCTTAGTGAAAGGTGTCTTCATGTGTGTATTCAACTACTAATCATAAACATCATTATTATTTACCTTAATTCTTACCCTCTCCTACTTAGTTTCTTTTTTCACCCCTCCAATGTCCGCTAAAGCCCCGACTTTCGAAGACGAGATAAGACTCATCGAAAAAAATAAACACGGGAAGAAGAAGGTCACTGCTTGATAAACTTCTGGGTTATTTATTACGCAGTTTTTGATAAGCATCCTTAATTCCAATTTCGAGGTCCGTTTTCGATCGATACGCTGGAATTTATGTCGGAAACTTCGAGTCCGATCATGACTACACCCGACTACGCCACATCCTTACGCGGACATATAAAGGTTCGATTTCTCGTTCCTTACGTTGAAACTCATTATATAATTTTTCTAATTTTTGACGGTTGTCTTGCGTAAACAAAATCCGAGTAGCGACAAACGACGTACTGGAAAGTACCCAGTTAGTTATTCGAAGCAGGTCAGATATAGATTGCAAAAATTAGGAGCATAGAATTCCAGTGATGGCCAGATAGCGATAGGTCTCCTACGACTGTCGTCCAAAATCGAGGACATAGAAGATACAACTGCGTAATGTTCATATTAAGTTAATTAGTATTGTAAAACGATGAACACCGGTACAAATGGATCGCTAGCCACCGGTAAAATTACTAAGTGAAATTTCAGTATTATTGAGACTTACATAGCAAGTCTCGGATGTAATCATGGTGCTCACTGTCGTCCGGTTAGTAGTCAATGACTTCGTGAAAACAAGACCTTTCGTTCAAGGTTTCTTTTTTGGTCTTGTGGTGGTCTCTTAACAAGGTTTTCTGTCGGCAGCCATAATTTCCCGAACAATACGAGTCCTCCTTCCTCTTCTGCCCCTCCTCGACCTCCCCCTACTACATTAACACCACTCACGACGGACGCGAAGTCCACCCCCACTACTGACGCCTAGGTCAACGGAAAATGTTGTAAACGGGGTAGTAGAACTAGTAGAAACTCCAAAGAAAGAAGTTAGTGGACGGTCACAACATAAGACGGGATCGTTTACTTTGTTCTAGAAAATTGATTAGAGATATGAACGTTAAGTTCTGGAACAACATGCACATTAACAGAGTACAACTACAAGATAGAAAATGTCTTGGTATATTCTTCTGATGTAACACCGACTATGACGAGTGAAAAGATAATATTGTAAAAGTTGGGACCTGGAAGAATAGTAAGCCACATCCGAAGTAATCAAAATGAAAGGCTCCCTTGCTCTCTCCCACGCTCCATTTTGTCTGAACTTGACGATATACGCCAAGAGGATTAATTAATTACCGGGCTGAATGACCTTGGGACTAATGAGTCGGACACGATGTCTCTACAACATTGTCCCGAAATCAGGACGAGAATTTCCGGAGACCGAGCGTACGTTTACGTGGTTTTGCAAAAGTCAAACGTAGCGTAACAACTAACGTCGACGGTGCGGCACAGTCAATCAAGTACACCTGTACTCAACTCTCTGACGTCAAAATAATCTACCCTAAAACACGGAAAAATATAACAAAGACGATGTAGACCTAGTTTATTTAAATGTCGCAAAAAGCTCAGACGGGACTTAGCGGCGTCCACCTCTTTTCTTCTAAATCGTTCGGGTACCTTGGTTGGCTAATTACAAGCCAAAACAACGTTATGACATCATAAAGTGGCCAAAATCTGATCAGCTCATTTTCAGACAGGTTTTTATATAAATGGATCAGGACAAAAAGAGAGAGAATCTTTTTTCCTGAAACTTTCAGAATCTCTTTACACAGAGGGGACACATGTTGATGTAGAAGGGACATGAAAAGTGGATTTTGCATAATAGGTGACCTTTAATACCTTTACAGATTTGGATTAACAATGTGAAACATAAACAGCACTTAAAAGTCTTTAGTTTCCTCTGGAGCTTCATTCTAGCCACCCTGCAGCAAAGTAATGAACATTAGCTGCACATTAATGCACCAATAATAATAATCAACACATATAATGTATTATTCTAAATGGGCTAATCTGCATAATAAGTAAGTTTACTTTTGGTACTTTGAGTATATTTTGATGATAATACTTTTTTTACTTGAGTGACATTTTGATTGCAGGACTTTTACTTGTACCAGAGTATTCCTACACTCTGGTACTTCTACTTTGACAAGATCCGAGTACCTTTTCCACCTCTGCTAATGTCAAGTAAAATGCTAAAACATTCACACTTTCATCATTATATCGTCTAAATGATCGTTTATATCCAATAGGTGCTGGTATGAACTCATTCAGTATATGACCTCAAAATGACAGCAACAATGATCCTGTTTATGAGCAGAATAATACTTAATCTTTGCTAACATTAATAATCTGGTTGAGGTACAATGTGAAGCTAGCTAAACTGCTAAGGATACAGTCCAAGGGCAGCGTTAAAATTGCATAATTAAATACATAAAACAGACATACAATAGTGAATCACATGTTTATAGTTTAGCGTACCTTCTATATCTGATGAATAGATTTCACTTTCCGACGATAAAATGGAAAAAAAGGACACAAATCTGACAAGAGACGATTTAGGATTGGGGCATGGGATGGGGTCATTTATGTTATTTCCGGGTTATCTACGGTGTACGAGAAAGCTCAAACTTCTTTAAAATGGTTTATGCCTTTCGCGAAATCATTAGTTTTAGCTAAACGATGCGAGTCAGTGTACCTTCGTATCACTTTTAAAACATAACATTTACAAGAAAGGCGACTCAGAGGTGTTTTTGTTGTGTTTATTTTTAATTTTAGTAAACGGGGCGAAACTCTCGGTAGTAATTTCAAAGTAAAAGCCTTCGTCTGGTAAACGACACCAGAGGTAATGACACATGTTGTCCTCCAGGGGGCAGCTGCATCCATGGGAAGCATTCTTCTTCTGTGGTTTGTCGTTACATCCGTAGGAAATCGACTGTAAAAAATCCTTTCCTCTGGTTTTTGTGACAGTCTTCCACACTAACATTAAGCATTTTAAACATGTCTTCTCCGCTGCTTCTCAGAGCTTTTGTGAACGAGAGACTGACAGCTGCTGCCGATGAAATATTTCACTGTTTTGAACGAACAATCTTGAAATATGAAGACGAAGCTTCGAGCTCTAAACAGGAAATCGAGCGACTGAGAGGTGTGCTGCTGGAGTTTGCATCAAACACAAACCACAACACAGGTTTGTTAACTATTTATTTCTACATATGTCAGTGGCAGACTTCATTATAATGTTTGTCAAGGTATCATCCCACTTATTTTTAATTGTTTGGCACCGTTACATCATGTTTTGGTCATTTGTTAGTCAACAGGGGTGTTCACTCTCACTTTCTGAGTCCTGAGTGAAACCAGTATTTGTTTATTTGAAATAATGTACATTTTATTGTTGTATAGTAATGCCTGTATCATTGTGTTCTTAAACTGATAAAAAATATATATCAACAAAGCAGAACTAAAATAAAATTATGTAATGACTAATAGCCTAAAAGATTTTCAAGATTAAGTCTGCAACAAAATGCAAGAATTTTGCAATGTGTAATAATTTGTCTCAATTATATCAATTAAAGTGGAAAACCTTACCCAAATAATTTGAATTATTTTTGATCAATCTTGATTTATTAAAACAGCTAAACAAGACACTTTAAAATGAGAAGTGTTAACAGGTAATTAATTACTATGAAAAGTTGGGGATAAGTGCAGATTAATGATAAGGAAAATAATAATTAGCTGCCACCATTATTGATACTGTTACTATTTAGTTACGTTTTTTCCAATATTAAAGAACGTATTAACTATGTTGGTTCTAAAACTGATACAAAATGATATAGACGCGAAAGATGCAGAAGCTCTAAACTCTTTACTCTTTTCCCCCCAGTATCTTCTCAGGCGTTGTTGTGTAAAGATGAATCTTCCCCTGAGCACCACCTCTGTGAGCAGGAGCCGGGCCCCAGCGTCTCTCAGGAGGAACCAGAGCTCCGGCACATTAAAGAGGAAGAAGATGAACTGTGGGCCGATCAGCAACAACAAGAAGAAGAGGAACAGGATGTGGAGTTTGGGGATGTGGATGCCTCTTACCTACCTCACTCATCTGTCTGTGAACAACATGAGGACGAGGACACAGAATCTCAGACTGAAAACAGTGATTACGAGGAGCAGTTTAAGGGGCAAACTGAAAATGTACACGTAATGTTACATCTCCCTCAATTTACAGAAACTCTAGTCCAAAATGATGGAGTCCAAGATGTTCGGGACAATGGAATACCTGTTGCAAGCTTTACCTCAAACCAAACCTACACAGAGCAAACTTCCTCCATCGCCTCCAGAGAAACCACTGAGTTAAATCAGTATCTCCCCTGCTTTTTGTGCGATAGATCATTTACTTCCAATTATCACTTGACAAATCATGCTTTCCGCATACATACAAGGATTACAGACGTCATCTGCGCGGTGTGCGGACAGACCATGGAGTCCAACCAAAGCCTTAACCTGCACCTCAGATCTCACAAGAGCTCCAGATGTTGTCAGGTGTGTGGCAAACAGTGCAACAGCATTACTGTAATGAGCGAACACATGGCGAGCCACGCCGGGGTCAAACTGCATCGCTGCCAAATCTGCGGGAAAGAGTGCAGCCGGAAAGGAGATTTAAAGATTCACATGAGGATCCACACGGGCGAGAAGCCGTTCTGCTGCTCCCACTGTGATAAGAGCTTCACCCACAGCGGACACCTGAAGAAGCACATGAGGAGCCACACGGGAGAGAGGCCGCACCGCTGTGAGCTCTGCGGCAGAGGATTCCTCCAGAGCGCACACCTGAAGTATCACATGGGGACGCACACTCAGAAATATTAAATGTATCCCCCTGAGCCTGTGTTTTTAGGAAGGTTATTTGCTGAGTGTGAGAGACATTTATCAAGCATGTTACATCTCTTACTGTAAATGTTAAAGTAACATTTGAGAGCAGCTCATAAGATATAACATTATTCATATAAGCAGAAATTGCCAACAGTTTCCCTAAGTATGCCATATTGTCATTTATTTGTATTATTATTTTAGAGATATCTTTCTTATTTTTAAATCTTTAATAACAAGTATCAGGAGTATAAGGGAAACATCTTTTGCTGATATTTTTCATTTAATTACAACTTTTAGCTGTTAAATGTGTTCATTTTCACTGTTGACAAGTTGGGAACTCATTATTTAGTAACAACTAACAGGAAGACTTAACTATTTCCAGTAATATCACTGCTGTAAACATCAAGAAAATAAAATGTGTGTGTCAATAGATAGAACTTTTCCTATATTTCTTTTTAGTATTATAGCTTTTCATTCATCAGACTCAAGTTATGAATGCTCACATGACATTTAGTCTGTTTCTGGTCTGTGATGAATATGGTTCACCACTAGGGGGAGCTGTAGTAGTGTTTATTCATCCATCTGTCCTGCAAATCAGTGAGGGCTCTTGAAAGTGAGATTTTACACAAACTACTAGTTTTTCTGACTTAAGGTGATATTGTTTATAAAACTGCAATCAAATAACTGAAGTTTCTATACAGTATTCAGAAGTAAGTCACAAAGTATGACACTATTATCCTGACATTTTGCACATCTTGCACAATCAGAGCTCCGATTCTGTTTAAGGGCTGCCAAGTGAAGATGCTTCCAGGTGAGCTTTTATCCAAAGTAGCTTGTACTGCAAGGGTTTAAACTAAACACTCCTAGTTTTTGTCCAAAGCTCTGAATTTCAAATACTTGAACTGCCTAAATATTACCTCTCACTTTTATAGAAAAGCAGATACTACATTCACACAGTCACGTGGTTTTGAGCCACTTATCCATTACATTTTGGTGTGATTCAATTACCATAAAGTTATAAAAAGCTCCACTTGGATCGCTCCCCGGTGGCCTGAAAACTTCCCACAGAACAGGAGCTCATTCAGGAATCTGTGTGTTTGGGAAGCAGCTTCAGGGGATTCAGATTTTAGATTGTATAGAGCCAAAGGGCTAATTAGGCCTCAGTGACCCTCAAACCTAAAACCAACTACTCTAATCTGGTTACACAACTCCCCGTAAAGATGTAGGATCACCAGCAAACACCCCTGGGAACTGTTTCCCACAAGTTAGCTCATTAGTATCTATATTAATCTCTCTGCTAGCCAAATCACTGCTAAATGATGGATTAAACTAGCTGTAACACTTCAAAACTATTCTAATCTAAATGTACTTGCAGCTGTATTTTACCCAGACTGTAGCTATTTGAGAAAATTGCCCATACTTTACTGGAAAAAAAGGGGTGAGATGTTAATCTTCTGTGAAATGAAATTATGGGAAATGTACTCAAGGCGACATGGACAGATTTTCCTTTATATGGGTCAGACTGTGTCTCAGAGATTAACACATTGGGCGAGGGGCTGTGTTCAAAAGCATTTCTTCACTCACAAGTTGCTGCAAAGAATTTAGCTGGGGGCTTGGCAATCGTGGGGAATTCCTCTGGTTTTCAGTTGCATAATTGGGTCATTGAGTTACTCACCAACCCACAGGGAAGTCTTCGCAGCGGAGCAGAAGAATTTGAGGGGGATCCATCTGCACCCTGCTGAGGATGGAGATGATCCAAGTTTCTGGTGGAAGGATGAGATATGACAGTATCGTCCTCATGGGTTGATGAGGAGGAGGATAGCAAACATCTGGTGGACATCCTCCAGAGGCTGAAGCATGCACACCAACAAGCACGGTGTTAAGCAAGAAAAATAAATGTGGGAGTGGGAGGAGATACTGTGCATGAATTCTAAAGTGTATCGGTCAGATACTCAAATAGTGATGAAGTGTGGAAAGAAATGAGTTTATAACCTGTACTGATTTTAATTTAAGACAACATATCAGAAAAGTGATGAATGAACATGCATGGAAAACATAGAGAGGTCTGTGCTGGAGAGAGACTGTGAATTTGCATTTTCAATTTTTCAGTGTTTGGTTCCTACAAACCTAATCGTTATATTAAGGTTAAGAAGAAAAAGAAAACGTTTTTTATTTGCAGAGCATCTGAGGATGTTTCAGAATCTGTAAATTCAAAGACAGTTTATTTTGTGGGAAATCTTGAGGAAGACCAGATGATATTTCCTAATTGTTTACTTTCTATTGCTAATCCCAGTATTTATAAATCACATGGTGGGCTGCTATTAAAAGCATTGAGAGTGACGGACCCAGCTGTTGTTGCAGTTGTTGCTGAGGAAAGATTTCCAACACAGTTGTTTCCTCACATATCCTCTGCACACTCGTTCTTTACAGATAGTACATTTCTCTATAGAAGAAATAAATATAGGCCTACCTTTTTAGTGAACATTAAACCATCCGGATCAAGTGTGTGCATCCTATGAGGAAACATGTTTAGTAATCACAAAAAGTCTATACAGAACATGCCTGCAACATGTTTACTGACAACATTTTCATGTGTTTTCTTTCTCATACCAAATAGGGAATAATCCAACCGTGTCCATGGCTAGGTATGGGCACTCCCAGCCCTTGTGTCACAAGACAGTTTCTTTTCAATATTCACATACAATCAACGTTTTTTTGTTTCCTGAACACAACAACAGGTAGCACTTTGCAGGGTGCACCTGTATTTTAGTGATGAGCTTAATGCACAAACTGTCCACCCTGAAAGGCTTGCACTCTGCACAAAACATAGTGCTTCCAAATGATATTATAGAGCTGAATGCTTCATCAATAAATGAACGAGTAGGTGATGGTCGACTCCTCAGGTGTTTGTGACAGATGGTGGAGTCCCATAGTCCCATACCATCATAGCTACGCCCCTGTTGTGTTACCTGGGCTGTGTTTAATATTGTTGTCACAGAACCAGTGTAGTTATAATAAAGAGCTATTGACATGCCCATGCCCTCTCTCCCTGACCCAGTGTTTGGCTGCTCTGGCGCACGGTGCAAAGGATTATAATCTGCTGGTTTATGTGTAAAAATTAAAACCCCCAAAGTAACCAGCTGGCCTGCTATTTGTCGGAATCTGGACCAGTCACAGAGACCCCCCCTCCCCCCTGCTGCTCTCCGGGTGCCAGCTGCAGGACTGCGGAGCGTTTAGTGGAGTTTTGCTGCTGAAATAGCCTCGATAAAAACGGACTGAATGAATGCATGAGCGTCGTTGCCTCCGAAGCTACGTGCTGCTCCAATGTGAGGGCATCGCAGGCCGGTTGTGTGAGGGTAAGTGTGACAAGTGTGTGCTTCTCATGCGTCGCTGATAGACGGTGTGTACATACTGCTGACACAGCCTGCCATAAATACAGAGCCCGAGGGGGGGGGGAGACAGCGCGTATGCATGTCAACAAAAAGCACGTTGCTATGCTGCTAGGCTAATGCAGATGTTCAGTTTGAGCCGATTGTGTGCAGTTGTTGGAGCTCCAGGTCAAATGGTGACAAGGTCAAATGGTCACCAAGTCGCAGTGCGTTGATTTGGGACGTGACTGGAGCATAACGTCCCCCATAGCTCCTGGAAGTGTTGGTGTAATGTTGGGGGTCAAATCTGACCGTCAGAGGTGAGAGAAGTACATTCACACAGTACATTTTATTGCTTCGGGGCCTTGTAATTTCCTCCACAGTAGGCATTTGAACATATACAATGTTGGTCACTACTTTTATTTAATTATGATTGGTTTGGTCAACTTTGTTATCCCTACATGGTGTTTGACCGCCATAGGAAGTGACCCTAGATTATGTTCTTCTTCCATCAGATAGTAGGCTACACACCCACAACCAACCAAATGTCAATATTGGAAAACATTTTCAGTGTCTATTCTTTGTATATTTATTGCAGTCATGTAAACCAGTAGTCTGAGACATTGTTTACAGCTTAAAAGGATGTTAAATACAATTTGACATGATTCATGTTTTTTGTTTTACTGTAAGAGAAGTTAAAACAGACCAGTCAAATTTGACCGGGAACACCAAAGTAAGGGGAAAGAAACTAACACGACAGGAGGATTAAAAAGGTCAGGTGAGTGACTTGAGTCATTAGTCATGAGGTGTTTTCTTTATCAACATAATACCAATTGTGTTTTTGTTGCTTAAACAAAACCACACTCAGGGCTTTACAGAGTGCTCAGCTCTGTGGACCTGACCTCTTTGCAGGACATGCTTCACAGACCGCACTTGCTTCGATATTATATATATAGTGTCTGATTTGAGTCCAAGGGCATTTGCTGATAGCTACATTTGATACGTGATATCAGAGAGTATGCTACTCTATATTAAGACCAGGAATATCTCTCTCTCTCTTTCTCTGTTAGTAATCCAGTCTGCATGTTGTTGTAGCTGCAGAGGAAGTTAAAAGCTGACCTCGCGTTGGACTCAAAGTTGTTGAGAGCCAGAGGTTAAGACTTGTACACAGTCTGAGTTAAGGCATCACAGCAGGCGAGAGTGTGAGAATATAGATCGTCCTCACACACACAAACTCACACACCTCACAGAGGGGGGGAGCATGAAAGAGATCCAAGAAAAGACCCCATTGAGCTAAAAACCACTACTGTACCAAGAAAACACTTGGTACAACTCTGTTTCCAGTGCACACATACACACACACATTTTCCTCAGTGTGCTTGATACAATGTTGGTGAAGTATGTTTGATAACTTTGAAGGAGCTTTGAAAAGGCTGTTATTCTCACAGTGATAAGCTGCATGTCAGTCGTCACATGCAGCGAGCAGCGTTAGGCACGTAAAGAGGAGAAAGTTCAAGATGCTCAGCCAAGAATCAAGCTGCTTGTGTCACTAGTGCTGAAATACCATTTGATTACTAGTTTCTAGAGCCGCAATCATTCAAGATTGGAAGAAAATGCTGTTTTCAGCTTTTCACTGTTTTCAGTAATTTCAAACTAAATATATTTGGGTTTGGGACTGTCAAATCAAGACCTTACGGATATTTTATTGTTTTCAATTGTAAGTTAAAGTGCCAGCGTGATATTTAAAATATATAAATACATTCTCTCTATCTAGAAAACAGATCCATTTGAATGTTTACCTTTTTTCATACAAAATAATCCATCAAGTGTATGGACTCAATACAGAGAAATGGTCAAAGTCAAAGCCTGATATATCCTCACTTTTAGTCGCCACAATGGTTCGACATTTCCTGTAATGAACAAACAAACGGCATCTTTTTATCAGGCCCTTCCCGCTTCTGAATCCAAATCTCTTTTTTTTGTTAAAGCTTTCTGTTTTAAATCTGAAGTTTACAAGCCCATACCCTTTCACCCTGATGACGCACTGACACACTTCTCAGCCATGACGGAGCTCAAACATTAATCTGAGAAATAAAAAGGATAGAACTTGAAATATAACTGAGGTCACAGACTAGACGTAGGACACCATGTTTCCTAATGAAGTGCCTTGGAGCAGGACATTGAACGCCTCCACAGTA